AAACAAGCCAACAACTGTTCATGTGAATTTATAATGATTTACTTTAATTTACTCTAACTGATCTTGCGATGTTTAAGTTTGCTGTTGTTTAGTTCCAGAGTATAGGATCTGACTTTATCGCATTTCACTTGTGGTGCCAATTAAATACTCGGCTTTTGGTGCTAATTAACAATTCCTTAGATAACTGGAAATATTTCCTTCTTACCACTACGCACTACGCACTAGTGTTCACAGAAAAAAGATCAAGTTGTGTTTAATAGGACCAGGTTTATGGGAATTATATTTTGATTGTTTTGAAATGATATGTTTCAAAATTAAATGTATATAATTTTCGCCAAAACGGGTCCAATTTTCGACCACAGTTTTTTTTTCTCTGTAGGCTTATAAAAACGAAAATAAAACAAGATGTAAATATTATCGAAGTGCGTTCGCTTATCGAACGGCAAAAACTGCCGAAGCTGTTTTCAGGCCAAATTGTAGTGGGGATATTTGGAATTCCGATCTCACCGAGAGGCAAATAAAGGCGGCGGCCCTCGATCACTTGGATCGGTTCGGATCGCCAGAAGCAGGGTCGGAAATGTGGGAACGAAAGCGCAAGTGAACAACAGACCGCTCCCATCCCACCTGACTCCAGCAGATCAGGCCCCCGATTTATGTGCACATGTAATTTGTTTGTTTGGTCTCTCGGCGGGAAGGTCAAACCCGATTCAACTGTATCGGACCAACTTGCTGGCGCTTTTGTGGAAAGTTTCACTCGCGGCCGCGCACTTAATAATATTAGGTATGTGCATAAATAACTACATATGGATGTATGTGCATGGTTCCGAATGCAAAGGTGTTGTTTTTTGCTATTTCGTTTCTGGCGCCTCTGCCTTCAGCATTCTAAGTGGCGAAACCATTAAAACAGAGAGTAACGCTTACATAATACTGGCGCAGTAAGTTTCCAAAAAAAAATTGAAAACCCGACTGGATTACGGCGAAGACAATGAAAGTAAAAAACCCAAAGACCCACAAAACATACTCTTGTGTACACACAAATATAAGGGAGGAGCTCCAAAGGGGGGAAAAAATTAATGTGCGAAATGTATGGACTCCGTCAAAGTCGAAAGAAACGAAAAAGAAAGCTCAATTCGACAGGCCGAAGATTTAATACACTTGCGGCCCACGTTGTACGCAGTATGCAATACCACCTTTTATTTCCTACCAAGAACCGATGTCTTACCGTTAAAATGCACCACAATATACAGTAGAATCCTGTTATAACGACTCCGCTTATAGTGTCCGTCCGGGTATTGCGACGAAAACTCGATGGCTTGATTGGTCCCCAGACAGACTTATACACTTATATCCTTTTGCTTAGTGCGTCTTCCGGGTATAACGACGAAAACTCGTCGGTCCCTTGAAAGTCGCTATAAGCGGATTCTACTGTAATCGTATAATGGGTAGCTGGTGTATTGACCAGCGGTCTACTTAGTTCTGACTCTATAATGCGACCCGCGGATGCCCACTGTCTTATTAGGGGCGCTGCAGGTATTTCAAAGTAGGGTACTACGCTTCATTGTTAATTTATGTAAATCAATTGGGTGATTTCAATACCCTTGCAGAGTGTATTATAGTTTCAGTCAGAAGTGATGTGGGGTTAAAACAAGAAAGGAAGCTAGCTTCGGCAAGCCGAAGCTTATATACCCTTGCCGTCATCAAATACGATTTTTCTATTCAATTTTCATATTTTCGACTATTGTTCATATGTCAGCTATATGATATAGTCGTCCGATTTTGATAAAATTTAATTCAAAACTCAAGAGTCTTTAGAAAACTCTATATTCCAAAAATCATGATTGTCTGATGAAAAACAACGATGTTATCAATTTATTTCCTTTAATTCTATAAAGATTATAAAAGATATAGATTTAGATTTTTCGATCTTTTCTATAGCAGCAATGTGATATAGTTGTCCGATTCTTTTTTTCAAAGATAGTTAAAGAAACCGATGTTGTAAAAATTTTGCTCTTGGAATAAAAAAAAAATTAATCCGAAATTCAATTGTCGTCAGAAAACGCCATCTGGAAGAAATCAAGTCGATCTGGTTAAAAAAAACGCCGCAAGAATTTTTTATTTCATTCTCTCGTATATGAGCTATCCGATATAGTCAACCGATCCGGCCCGTTCCGACTTATATACTGCGTGCAATAACTACACAACTTTTGGGAAAGTTTCAGATAGATAGCTCTAAAACTAAGGGACTAGTTTACATAGAAACAGACAGAAGGACAGACGGACAGGCCTACAAAAGTACAGTATAATCCTGTTATAACGACTCCGCTTATAGTGTCCGTCCGGGTATTGCGACGAAATCTCGATGCCTTGATTGGTCCCCAGACAGACTCATACACTTATATCCTTTTGCTTAGTGCGCCTTCCGGGTATAATGACGAAAACTCGTCGGTCCCTTGAAAGTCGCTATAAGCGGATTCTACTGTATTTCGATTCAGATGGTGATGCTGATCAAGAATATATGTATATACTTTATGGGGTCTGAGGTGCCTCCTTCACTGCGTTGCAAACTTCTGACTGAAATCATAATACCCTTTTGCTCTGCAAGGGTATAAAAAGTCGAAGGTGATATACCCGTGCAAATAGAATTGATTAAATACTGTGGTATAAAGTAAGACACTTGGGAGCATCAAAAAATAGTGCGGGTATTTCTAAGTAGTACTACGCTTCACTGTTTATTTATGTTAATCATTGGGGTGTTTTTAACACCCTTGCAGAGTGTATTACAATTTCAGTCAGAAGTGATGTGGGGTTAAAAAAGTCGAAAGTGATATATACCCGTGCAAATAGAATTGATTAAATATTATGGTATAAAGTAAGACACTTGGGAGCATCACAAAATAGTGCTTGTTTAATTGCCATTGTTCCCCAGATTCTATTGTTTTGGAGAGGATGACGGACATTGTCACGACTGTAAATGCTAATTAAAAATATCTAACCTTTATAAGGTCAAACTATTGCGTTCTTAGAACAATACTAAGGGGTAAAAATCCGGCTGGGAGGATTTGGCCTTTACACAAGGGAAAAAATAACGATTTAATTTAAAAAGTGTTCCAAGAAAATAGATAAATCAGCGATTGCTTCTTTTGACGGAAAACCCGCCAAAATCACATCACTACTATGAAATGGCTTCGCGGCTAACGGCATCTTCAAATCGCAGCAACAGGTGGTGAGGCTAGTTCTCTTGACTTTGATGCTGTGTCCCTGTCTGTCTGTGTTCCCATCAAATGCTTGCGGTCAATCAAGTGACTTCCAACTATGTAGTATGATTTGCGGGTCTGGGAATATCCAATATAGGGCGCGATCGGGCCCAAACCAGAGTCTCAGCGGCCCAAAGAATTCCCGAGCTGATTGTTCTTTTCTGGTGTGGCAAACCGGTTACAGAACTTTCGGCATAATAACAGTGCCCAAAAGTGCTTATTAAGCATGCGCTGCTAAAACATATATTAGCGAGCCATGTTATCCATATAGCTAAATTCTCTTGGACTTTGGACGCTTCGAAAAAAAATTTCTTTTTGGTCCGATAAATATGCGTTCGCTGTGGGTGTGACCGTGTGACCGACACAAGCAGCAGATATATGTATCTTCTCTCTTTCGGCAACTTCTGAGAGAATCGGAGCACGGCGGTAGATGTGCGGGCTCGGTCACAATCTTGAAATCTGCGGGTTGCGGGCAGCCCCACTCACCCTTCCGTTTAAAGGCGAGAAGTAAATTCGGCTTTGATTTGTTTTCCCAGCAATCGAAATACTCAGAGTGTTTACTTTGCTCGTAGCCAGTCGCGCCAGCCAAAAGCCTACAATTACGTATGGCCAGGGGGCCAAGGTGCAAAGTGATCAATTAGCACTTTAAAACTGCACATTTGCCACACATTTGCATAGACGAAAGCCCTTGACTCTACAAGCAGCTCTGGGTTCTGTTTTGCGACCATCGGCCAGCGTTAATTGATGTCACGACACACTCCGGAGATGGAAAATGTGAATGTGATCGAAGTATTTAGCGCTCTAGCGTGCTGACCCTACAAAAACTGAAAAATGCGACTGCGGCGCATTTCTGTACGTTTCCGCATTGGCTGGACAGGTGAAACCTTCTTGATTGGCGGACCTATGCGACACCACCGCACTCCAAATTAAACAATGCTAAAAAAACTAAAAGAAAAATAAAACTACATCGAACTGACTTTACCGACTACGGCGTTATAAATTTCCAGCCAAAGTTTTGGTAGCTTTGGTAGACCAAAAAACCGAAATTGATTCAAAAAATGCATGCGACTTTAAACCCGCTTCTTTTCTAAACATCACAATCTTAGGAATATATTTCAGCCATTTTTGAATGTGTAAAATTAAATTTATTCACTGTAAACACAACGTAGACTATTTCAAGAAAATTAAAATTTTTAATCTAAGCTCAGTATTACGTCAAAATCTACATTTATTTTCGTACCCTAAAACGACATTAGACAAATTCTAATTTTTTGGAACGCTGAATTTTAGTTTTCAGATTTTAAATAACCTTTTCTCACTCCACAACACGATGCTCAGATTAAAAACAACCATTTTTAACTCGAATTTAAGTGACTTGACGGAATATCCTGATTTCGAATACAACTATCTACACACATATATTTTTTACAGAGTCAAAAAACTTTTAGCTGGTAAATACTCTTAAAGAAGTGCAGAGTACCCCATATATCTCGCAATAGTTGTCCTTTCAAGATAGCGACCCCTCTTGCATAGGCAGCGCCGGCCCTGCTCTCTCTTACGCCGCCGGACACGTGGAGCTCTCGGGAGCTCTGGCTCCCTTTTGCCTCCCTTAGTTGGCTGTTGCTTCCGCGGCAGCTTCTCTTCGGCACCGCCTTTTTTAATTAAGTCCACCGCTGCTGCATGATGACTAATATCGCCGAGCCGGAGGTGTAGCAGCTGGAAAAGGCCCTCTCGGGTAGTGCTCACCTGCGTTTTCGGGGAGGGCGGCAGTTGGATCAGGAATTCCTGGTGCACACACGCACACGTGCACGCTAGAAACACACGCACTCGCGAGAGAGAACACAAGCGTAGTGGGGCCCGCGCTTTTGGGAACCGAAGAACCGACTAGTTTTGGGGCTTGGGCTTCGATACTCTGCCGCTGGATGCGGTGGCAACGGAGAACAGCAACGACAACAAAAGGCAATGTTTTCACTCTAAATTAGCTCGCACACACACGCATCGCGTCGAATCTTACAGCACAAAAACTATATCCGACAACAAAACGCCTCGGCCTCCACCATGCAGAAACTAGTTAAAAATCAGTAGAAAAAACTACGTTTGCTTCCTAAAAAAATATATTTATATCGTAATACTTTTAGTCAACTAGCCATATTTTGGGTTTTTTTTATGGGAAACGACAACGCGAGTGAAATCGTGCAATAACAAAGAGCGCGATTGCTAGTTGCTTAAATAGATTTCTCTCTCCCGGGTTCGATTGGGTTTGACGCAACGCCGGTGCCGTTTGTTCGAGCCCCGTGGATGGTTGGTAACAACTAGGGATGTAAAAAGTATACCGATGTATCGATATTTTTTGTATTTATATTTATGCACTTATTATTATTGCGATACATCAAAATATGACAGTATTTTTCTCGTCATTGCGTTCCTCAAGTTGCTAAGTAATACTATATGTACGTTTTTTCAAGTTGTTAACCGATTATCAGAGAGAGTTGATAGACCGCAAAGTGAATATGCGAACGCCCTTCGAACGACGCGCTTCGATGTTTGATAGAGCCCGGCAGATGATTGGTTGCAACTAAGGGTTGCGTCGCGGCCACTGCTGGCTCAGGGATGGTATGAGTCCGTGGTAATTTTTACGACTTGGACTCAATCCCGATAACAGTGGTGCTGCCGCCAAGCTACGTACTATCGAAATTAACTCAAAACACAATTTGCAAACACAAGAAATGTGAACTGCGTTTTCCAAAAAACCTTATATGTACAAATTAAACAAATGAGTAACTGAACAATAGTTTAAACATTTAATTAAGCAAAACATTAACTTAACTAACAAAACATTACGGTGCATAGATGTTTCGTTTACAGCATAGCACCCCCTTGCGTCCGCCCCTGGCTAAACAACATTGAAACTATGACGATACGCTATGACAACTACATAGATGATATGGTTGCGCGATGTTTTCGAATTAATTTCGAAATTCAAGAGTCGTTAGAAATCTTTATAATCAAAGAATCATGATTGTCTGATGAAAAACAACGAAGTTATCATATTATTTCCGTTAATTCTATATAGATTTTTCGATTATTCTATGGCAACTATATGATATATGTACGTATTTGTCCGATTTTTATGAAATTTTGTTCTTAATTCAAGAGTAATTAAATACATACTTCATATTCTAAAAATCATGACATGACGTTATAATTTTTTTTACCATTATTTATATATATGTATGTATATTTTTATTCTTCCTATGGCAGATATGAGATACAGTTATCCGATTTCAATAAAATTTAATTCGAATTTCGATAATAGGTAAAAACACGATCTGGATGATGAAAAACAACGGCGTGATAAAAATCTGACATAGTCGATCAGCCGATCAGGCCTCTTCCGACTTATGTACTGCGAGCAATAACTATACAACTTTTGGTAAAGTTTCAGACGGTGGTGCTGATCAAGAATGTATATGCTTTATGGGGTTGAGGTGCCTCCTTCACTGCGTTTCAAACTCCTAACTGAAAATATAATAAGGATACAAAATGGTATCGGGTATAAAAATGGTATCGGGCGTCCTGCAAAAAGAAGCAAAGTCAACTTTTGATAGTATTTAGTTATCCTCGCAACATTTTATTGGATTTTGTAATCAATTTTGGTGCCTGAAATTAAAATTGTTTTGAGGCTTAATGAGTTATTTTTACAAGCTCTTCTTGTGCCGGTGGTCCAGCAGGTGGAGCGCTGGACTCCGGTCCGGAAGGCCCGGGTTCGAATCCCAGGCTCCCCGAGAAAAAGAAACTGTCTCTTTTTCCAAATCTCCATCATTTCTATGCTCTATCGCTCACTTAACAATAGTAACAAATTTCGGCTCCCCGGACCCGCACACCCCCCTTGTCCAAGTTACTATGGACACAGCAATAGAACTTTCGTCACTCCTAGATGGCGCCAGGTGGAAACCCACCGCTAGGATAAGTCGCTACTGGCTTATCACCGGTACGATCGAAAATCAATGATAAATGAATCCTCTACAAAAATTGTAGGGGCTCTATGCTCCCGGGTGGAGTTAAAGAATGTATTTGTATTTTTTTCTTGTGCAACGATGGGCTGGCTACTCCTTGACTTCCTGCTGTCTCGCATCTAGTAAAGGGCAGTTTTAATAGTGGCGGAGAAGAGAAAAGCCTGCTTTGAAGGGAACGCCACAGTCTCGTTTGGATCGACTCCACAATATATTCGACATGGATGCGGAGAACTTGGAGTTGGGCAGGGACGACACCGACTCGGACCAGTCGGAGTCGGTCAGCGTGGGCTCGATGAGCTACAAGGAGGACGTGGACCCGCAGTTTAAGCTCGAGGCCGATAAGGCGATCTGCATCATGCCGCCGCGGCCGGGCACGGCTACGATGAACTACCAGGAGCTGGTCATTCCGCGGAGCCAGCTGACAGACGTGTGCTATCCCATACGGGAAGCGCAACGCTGGCTGACCCTGGTGGACAAGCTGGGCAAGCAGCACCGCTTCCCGCTGCCCACGATCCTGCCGAAGGTCATTCAGACGCGCTTCGTGCCGCGCCGCCACCTGCCCAAGGACGTCGAGGTGGACCGCCGACGGCGGCAGTACCAGAAGATCGACCTGCTGGCCGAGCTGGCCCGCGCGGGCCTCTCCGACGACGTGCTGCAGCCCACGGAGGAGCAGTACGACGTGCTCTCCGAGTTCGCCTTCCCGCACAAGTTCCCGCTGAGCTACTTCGACGACAGCAACTTCGACATCAACTCGCCGGCGGCCTGGTTCGAGCTGGGCGTGGTGGGCGAGGCCCACTACCCGCTGCCCGCCCGGGCCTACCTGCCCGTCAACCGCAGCCTGCTCAACTGCCGCTGGGGCCTGGCGGCGGTCACCGCCCACGACGCCGGCTCCGACCGCTGGACGCTGCTCTCGCTGGAGGACGGCTGCACCTACTCGGTGCCGAAGCTGCAGTTCATGTTCCTGGCCGAGGACCCGCACCGCTACGTGCGCCGCCTGCAGGCCGCCGTCCACGAGCGGCACAAGGGCGAGCAGCTGATGCTGATGGAGCTGATCGTCGACTGTGTGCTGCACGAGGACATCGAGTCCACGGTCTTCTACAGCTTCAAGCCCATCGAGGCGGCCCTGCAGGCGGCGCGCGTCTCCGAGCAGTGCAAGCGCCGGCTGCGCTCCGAGGTGAACCTGGTGTTCGAGCGGCTGATGGCCCTTTACGAGTTGGAGCAGTTCATCCTGAAGATGCCGAAGGAGTTCCCGCAGTTCCGCAACATCAGCCTCAAGGAGTTCCTGCCGCGCTCCTTCGCCGTCGAGGTCTCCGGCCAGGAGCGGCGCGAGCTGCAGGAGCTGGGCATCACGATGCAGGAGAAGCGGCGCGACTTCCTCCGGGCCAGCCTCTTCTATTGCGGCGGCGGCGTGGAGGCCATGGGCGGGGTGGCCGCCGAGTGCCAGTACATCGAGACGCTCTCGGTGTTCGTGTGCACCTTCAGCAAGCCGCTCTCCCTCGCCGAGTTCCTGCAGGCCCAGGAGGCGCACAGCGACAACGTGGCCACCTTCCTCAAGGTCTACTGGCCCCAGAAGCTGACCTCGGTGATCACGGTGGTGCTGCGCGCCCTCGGCAAGGGCTGGCTGGACATCGGACTGAACAACTGGACGGTGTACCTCATGTGCAAGATATCGCGCTTCGTGCTGCAGGTGCGCTTCCGCATGCAGGAGTCCATGGAGGTGCTGCTCGAGGGCTCGCTGCGCAACTTCGCGCGCTTCGTGTGCGACCCGTGCCTGCAGTTCCTGGGGCTGCGGCCCGCCTACCGCTGGACCAGCAACTACATCGACACCGAGTTCCCCTACCACCGGCCCGTGTTCGCCATGACCCTGGGCATCAACGAGGACCGGCGCGTCTTCTACTCCACCGACCCGGACGAGTTCAAGCCGAACCTGGTGGATATCTTCAAGCGCGGCCTGGAGAAGACGTCCGGGGTGCGCTGCATCGACGCGTCCGTGATGGGCGCCCTTAAGTTCGCGCCCAACCTGTACATCCTGACCGTGGAGCTGATCGAGGAGAGCTTCCTGCGCGAGGACGCCCTAATGAACGAGTGCTACACGAAGGCTGTGCTGCCGCTGCGGGCCTACGCGCGCCTCTACGAGCGCTTCATCGACTTCTACCTGCTGAACGTGAACGCGTACATGCAGGCGTACGCGCAGGCGCACAAGCCCTCCTCGGAGGTCAAGCACGACATCCTGGAGCACAAGCGGCTGAAGGAGGAGGTGCGCGAGATCCTGCCCGCCTTCATCACGATCGGGCCCTTCTACATCAACGTGGACACGTTGAAGCAGTTCATGATCCGAAAGCGCATCGACATCGTGCGGCGCATCTTCGAGTACTACGTGGACCGCATGTACGAGACGAACGAATTGCTGCTCGACCGCTGCCTGGAGGTGTTCCGCCACATCGCCGAGCGGCCCATCAGCATCGAGCACCTGTACGATATCCGCGACTTCGCGGCCACCGTTCCGGACGTGGTGGACGCGCTGCGGGCCGACATCCAGGTGATGTGGCTGGAGTACGACCTGCTGGACAGCTTCTTCTACAACTTGAGCGACCACCAGTTCGCCATGAAGTGGAACGTGTACGCCTGGCCGCACCAGATCCTGATGCGGCTGTCCACGCTCAAGGACGAGCAGAAGGTGGACATCGAGGAGTTCCTGCGGCAGCACGCCAGCGAGTGCCAGGCCTTCGAGGAGCGGCTCGAGTCGCTGAACGACGAGGTGCAGGCCTACTCGCTGGCCTTCAATCCCAACCGCGCCCAGGAGACCTCGGTGGACATCAAGAAGACGTGGGCGCTTATCAAGGAGCTCGAGAAGGTCAGCCAGACGCTGCAGTTCCGGCAGGAGCTCTTCGAGCTTGAGCCTCTCTCCGTGGAGTTCCTGGAGAGCATCATCGACAGCTTCACGCCGTACAAGAACCTGTGGTACGCCTGCGCAAACTTCCTGAAGCTCGAGGACGCCACCGAGGGCAACCCGATCGCCCAGCTGGACCTGGAGGAAGTGTGGAGCAGCCTGAGCAAGCTGCGCGACGAGCTGAACGAGTCCATTGCCGTGTTCAGCGAGAAGGTCGAGATCATGGATGTGGCGAAGACGTTCATCGGGAAGATCGACGAGTTCGTCCCGGTCTACAACAGCATCAGGGACCTGCGCAACGAGAACTGGATGTACATCCACTGGCAGGAGCTCAGCGCGGTGACCGGCCAGGAGATCAAGTACTCGGTGGCCATGAACTACCAGTACCTCATCCGCAAGGGCATCCTGGACTTCCTGCCCGAGGTGCACGCCATCTCGGAGAAGGCCAACAACGAGGCCGAGGAGATCCGTCGCGCCATAGAAGAGGAGGAGCGCCGCAAGCAGGCCGAGCAGGACGCCCTTCTCCTGCGCAAGCAGCTGCGCAAGTGCCGCAGGGACATACTTTAGTTCGACACTTGTTGCTAAACACTTCAACTTGCAATCGTTTCCTTGCATAACACAACCCCTTTCCTGTTTTCCATTAAAATCTGCCTTCAGTCGTATAAATACGACTCAGTCAATCTCAAGTTCAATGTTCTCACAGTGAATCAAGGTTTTTTGATTTTTATTTCTGTAAGTGAAAATAGTATGCAAAGTTTTTTAATATGCCGAGTGGAAAAATGCATAACTTTTCTTTTAACTGGATCGTATTTGTAGCCTCTATATAGCTTGCTGATTTTTTTGTTAATTCCTGAACATCAATTACATATCCGTATCAGGTGACTGGATCCTAGAAGCCTGGATTAGAAATGGTGTTTCCGATGCTAAATCAATAATTTCGGCATTTCCAGTTTCAATTGCAATTGCATTTTGATATTTTTCTGATTTAATATGTCTTATTTTTACTGATTCAGTGAAAATCGGATGCTTGCAGATTATCGTTTAAGGCTTCCGTTGAGTATTTAAACAACATCTAAGCTATGTCAATTTTTCTATATATATTTTCTATGTCAAAGTTTCTATATTTTCGACAATTGTTCATATGATAGCTATGATATGATATGATATAGTCGTGCGATTTTTATGAAATATATTTTAAAATTCAATAGTTATTAGAAAACTATGCATGTCTGCTAATTTTCGATTTAAAGGTAGTTTAAAAAGTCGATTTTCCAAAAATCATACTTTTGGGATAAAAAACAGCAAACCATTTGTTGCCGTTATTTATATTATTACTTCTTTTTTACGGTTATTTTCTATATTGGAGCATTTTATGGGCCTTTTCTATATTAGGGCATTTTATGGGCTTGTTTTTTCCGAAAAATATTGTTACGCGTTTTAGGCCGCTTGCGCGATTTCGGTTGTCATTTTTCTTGCCGGACTTTCTTTTGGCCTTCTGGATCTGAAGCTTGAATCACGTAAGTGGACACTCTGCGCTTTCTCGCTGTTTCAAGCTTTCCGTAACCAAGGCCTAAGCCAATACGAATGTTACCTACGTAATTCGTTCCTCGAACCAACATACCCTCCTGGGGCCCTGGTTAAAAATATCGTTCTTTTTCTATTTTCGGCACTACCGGGATAATCCAAACCACAAAGCTGGCCGGAAACCGTAAATTCCCTAAAAAAAAGGAAAAACTCATCCATTTGGATGAAAACTGTGGCCGTTCAGCCTTGACCTCCAACCTTAGATGGCGCTCTCCTGCCACAGACTTTTCACCAACGACTACTAGGTGGCGTTATACTTCTACGCTCCCCAAGTTAAAACGCCGCCTGGCGTTAAATATAGAATCTGGACTCCGATAAATTCTGTGGCACATCTCAAAAGTAGAATTTCATCATTAATATTCCCAATCTTTAAATTTATGTTTCTCAAAACTTGTGAGATTTACCAGGAAGAATAAGCGGGGAAATTATAAGTTCTTGGAAAACGACTGAACACATCGATCGTATCAACTGAAGAGCAAATGTTATCCTTTTCTACCTTTTCGCCAAATTGATGTTGATATATGTATATTAAACAAAAATTTTTATCTAAATGCGTCGATTTAAATTAGAAAACTAATTTTAAGAAAATTGAATGGATCATGATTCTTTGGACGCATCAGTAGAAAAAATCATATCTGTAAAAACGCCACATTTGCGAAGGCGCACAGCAAGTGATTTTTTTTTTTTGAAACTTTTGGACAAATTAACAGTGTTGGACCCAATGGCAAAACCATCGTTCGCCGACCTTAAGGCCAAGCCCTGAACCCAAGGTGTATCACCAAAATTATTAAAAATGGAGCAGAAACAATTATGGTTTGGAGTGCGTTTTCCTGGTATGACGTTGGCAAAATAGTCCAAATCAATGGCCTAATAGATCGGTTTCTGTACTTAGACAGCCTGCAGAAGCAAATGGAACGAATTGTGTTCGAAAATGCACCAATTTTGTTGACGTTTATGCACTACAACGGTCCAAAGCATACTGCTTAAGACAATAGGAAATAATCGGCAAAAAGCCCGACCAGAAGTCCAACCAGCTCGGAGATCTATCTCCAGCTTCACATGTCGAAAGCTGGTGGGAGACATAAACCGTAGGTGTGAAAAGGTAGTATGCAATAAAGGATTCAGCACCAAATTTAAAAAAAAAATACACCATAAACTGATTTTTGTAAACTGCAAACGCGGCAAATAATCGATAATGAAAGGCCACATTGTAGCTGCTTTTTGGTAGTTTCGATAACAATCGTGAACGCTAACCTCAGACACAAGCCATGGATTTCACGGTGGATGAAAAAATCTTGCAGGGATGGAAAGATATCGACTTTCATGTTTAAAACATCGATGCCTCGACGTTGCCATCGATGTTTCTGCTGCTTCGCTCTTTAGTAAAACTTAACCGGACCAAATATAAAACCAACCATGGCGGACGACACCAACGAGGACAGCTGGCTGTACGGCACCTCTAACCCGGACTCGACGACCGGTGAGCTGGGCAATGGCGGGGACGCGCTGGCGGCGGAGCAAGAGGCTGCAGCGGAGGCCCAGGCACTAGCCGCTGTCGTTGCCGGCGAAAAGCCGGGCTCTTCGGTTGGAGCAGATCCCGTTGGGGACTCGCCCCGGTATCCCAAAGAGGAGGTGCCCGAGTATTCAGAGTTCGACGACCCGGCTCAAGAGATGGAGGAGGACGAGGAGGCTTTGCCCGACACCACCGACAGCAGAAGCCGAAGAGACCGCGACAGAGACAGAGATAGGGAGCGGGATCGGTTTGCAGATCGAGCCGATGCCCGCTCCTCCCCGGATGCAGAAGATGACGAGATGGCCGACGCAAATAGCTCCAGGCGAGAGAGGAACGGCTCGGGGTCTGACGAGGACGACGACGACGACTCGGATGACGACATCAACGTGGTCATCGGGGACATTAAGCAGGCACCCAGCACCTACAACATAAAGCAGCGGCCAAACCTGCTGGCCGGAGGGACTGGCGCCACCGGGGACAAGGCCAAGCCGGCTGGCCAGGCGGGCAAGTTCAGCATTGAGGACTTCGAGGGTGCCGGCACTATCAACGGCGTAGCCGTGCACGAGTTCAGCATCGACTCGTTGGAGGAGAAGCCGTGGCGCAAGCCGGGAGCCGACATCACGGACTACTTCAACTACGGTTTCAATGAGGAGACGTGGCGCGCATACTGCGAACGGCAGAAGCGTTTCCGGGTGGCGGAGAGCGGCGTGGGCCTAGCCAGTCTCACGCAGAACGTAAGCCAGAACACCCCCATTGGCATCCTCACGGACGGCGGCATGGGCATGGGCCCACCCGGAATGCACAGCATCCAGTCAATGGTGGGCATAGGCGGGGAAGGCGGAATGCAGATGCCGCCGCCAGGGATGCCGCCACCCATGATGCAGCACCAGTCGCGCTCCGGAATGGGACTCATGCAGCGTCCCCCAAGGCCCATCTCAACCACGGGCGGAGAACGGGGCGGCGACCGCGAGAGGGGCGTCAAGGAGAACGCCATTCAGGTGATGACCGCCGAGTGCCGGGAGTACTCTCGCGGCGGCCTTGGACCTATGCCGCCGAACTTCCCCCTGCCCGGGGCCTCCGAGGAGCCCTTCTTCCACGAGCCGGAACCCTTCGACTACGGCTATGAGCCCACTCAGGAGTCGCAGTGGGGCAGTGACAATGCCGGGTGGGTGCCTAGCGGGATCAAGGAACTTACTCCCGGCCACGCTCACATGCAACAGCCGCCACCTGGGATGCCGCCTCCTGGGATGAGCGTGCCTCCGCCACAGATGGGCGGCCCGCCACCCAATTTGCGCGGCATGATGCCGCCCAACATGCGCATGCCACCGAATATGAGTGAGTTTTGGACAAAGAGCTTGCAATATCTTCGAGTCGTCTTATCCGTGTATTTTTTTGCAGACATGGGGCCTCCGCCAGGAATGATGATGGGGGGTAATGGACCGCCACAGATGCGAATGGGAATGGCGCCGCCACAGAGGATGAACATGGGAGGTAAGAGCAAGTCAAATAAAACAAAATAAGTTATACGTTATAAAAAATATAATGAATATCTATCTATCTCTTCGCGTCGTAAAAAATACTTCACTAATTTCTTCTTTCTTTGCAACATTTACTTAAATTTGTTGTATGTTCAAATTTAAAAACTTTATTACCTATTACTTTATGTATAAGACGTTGAAATTCTTAACTTAAATGTTGCGTCCTTTCTACATTAGATCGTGGCAGCTATGAGGATGATCGTGAGCGTAGAAGGCGGGAAAAGGATAAGCTCCTAAAAAAAGATCAGGTAAAGGAAAATTTTAATCAGAATCGACGTAATTACCAACAAATTGGTTTTAGCTACGAAAGGACTTCTTGGACATGCTGCGGGAGCGCCATGACATCGAGAGGCACACGAGGTGGTACGACATCAAGAAGAAGTTTGAGACAGATCCGAGGTACCGGGCGCTGGACTCATCCTATCGAGAGGAGTACTTCGAAGACTACTTGCACCTGCTGAAGGAGGAGAAGCGAAAGGAACGCGACCTTAAGGAGCGAGAGCGGCACCGCGACAAGGAGCGATCGCGTGACAAGGACAAGGAGAAGGAGAAAGACAAGGATAAAGAGAAAGATAAGGATAAGGAAAAGGACAAAGAAAAGGATAAGGACAAGGATAAGGATAAAGAGAGCTCGCGCCGAGAGCGCTCCCGATCCCGCGAAAAGTCCAGCCGTCGCAAGTCCAAGTCCCGCGAGAAAGATCGAAGTGAACGAAGTAGTAAGGGCAGCAGCAGCAGCAGTACCGCCGCCTCCTCCAGTCGGAGTGAGAAAAAGAAATCGCACCGCAAGGACAAAGAGGAGGAGGAATAGCATTTGTTAAGGTACTATATGGAAGACGATCGAGAAGCAACTCCCTGAGCTGTCCACCATACAAATTAAAAATAAACAAACCGAAATACACGAACATTTTCTAAATACATTAAATAAAAGAAATTCCAGAAGTAAATGAGGGGCGATTGTTGAGAGATACAAAGAGGCGGAATGAAGATAAATACACTTATTTTTTGTAAGAACGCTATATTGTATTATTTATGTATTTTGGTTTCAGTATATTGTATCTTGCCTAATAGGCTTGGAGTTTTACATCATTACAGTCTGAAGCACTGTTGCCAACTCTACATCTTTTTACGTAGATCTTCGTACTTTATATACCTGGGAGTAGCGTGTATAGTAAGAGGTTGATTTCTGAAGCTTAATCTTTTACTACCGTCAAATGCTGAAAAACTTGTGTATATCCATCACAACTTACCGCTGATGAATTTAATATCGTAATTTGATAATAAATGAAAGTTTTGATTAATGTGATGTTTTTTTTTCTATTAATATTATTCGGCCGATTACTGAATATCAAAAAAAGTGGCCGAATACCGAATAGTAGCCGAATATTCGTGGTATCTCTAATATATGTAAATATCTATATAAACAGATCATTTACTGGTAATGAATAAATAGATGATTGTATATTTGCATGTAAAGTTTGGCTTATTTGCCACGAGATTCTGGTAGACCTATAAATTCATAGAGTTTTTGTTTGCTCACAGTAATTTATTTTTAAATTTGTTGTTTGTCTGCTGTCTACTACTTTTAGTGTAATATAAATTGTCGTTTTATTTTCTTTTACCTACCCTACTCTCTTAATTTCACTCAGAAAAAAGTACATATGTAGATCTACGTATTTTCTATATGGCAATTTCACATTTCTACATAATTTTCTTTATCTGACCTACCGATTTTTGAAAATCCGTGTTGGCAACACTAGTCTGAAGTATGGTAAGGAGTAAAGGAGACACTTCCGATGCGGCAAAATGTCTTGTTTTTATTTATTTTATTTTTCGATAAAAACATTAGTAATTTTAATGTTATTCCTAAATAATGGAATTTAAATGGAATACTTTGAATTGTATCCAGACAGCTTCAGTTCAGTTCCAAGAACAAAAACAAAACTTACCCGCTAATAAAGAAAGAGTTCCCCATTTTTGATAGTACAAAATATGCAATGCTTTGTTTTGTAGTATGTTTATCTATTTATTTATTTGTATACCCATTAATGAGTTGCTTTTGGTGAGGAGAGAATTCTCATTGGAAATATAAAAAAAATATAAATCGAATGACAGGCACACAGATGCGGACTTAATTAACTCGAAATGGATGTTGTTTTACAGATAAATAAACGAAATCGGGAAAATATACACTTTATTTTTTCTGCAGTTTTTCAATGTTTGGGTTTGCCTTAATTGACATATTAATTGTCGTTTATTTGAGCAGCCAGTAAGGATGAAACCAATGGTAGATATCAAATGAAATAGTTTGTTGATGCAATCTGAATTCCCTTAGAGCTAGGTTTGGTTACAAAATGTTTGTGTTTTAGTTCGATTTGGCATTCAATGAAATTAGATAGAAACTATAGTCTATATGTATGTGTATATTAGAGTTGATATTTTAGGTTGATTTCCTCTAAGTGGATACTTTTAGTTTATGCTCGGTTACAGTACAACTAGGCTATCGTAGAGCGGTTACAAAATATATCATATTTCATAGACACGGAGGCGAACCATTCTCGATCCCATTGGGAATATTCCTGTTTTCATGGTTTGCTTTTATTTAAAAGTAATAACGATTGTCTTTAGAAAACTAAATTCACGTACTCGATGCTTATTCCATAGTTATGTTTACATCATCGCTAGTTTTACTAATATTCCTTCAGAATCTATATTCTAATTATTTCTTTGATTTTTAAAAGGAACATCATGTACACATATTTCTAAGTAGGTATGTATCCTACGTTTAGTTTAATTGAAAACTCGCACTAGCGGAACAAAGAAATCAGCCGGAGTATTCAGATCAGATATACAGATGAAGTAATTCTATATAATGCTACTTTCGAATCAATTCGAAATATTAAGTTTGAGTTTTTGGTTTTTAGTTTTAATGAGATTGTTTAACTCTTATGTTACAAGCATCTTTTACAATTTTGACTTTTGCCTTACAAATTATGATTTCATTTGGTAAAGTAAAGAAAAAGGTAAAGAAAACCGTCAAGAATAATCATTTTAAATAGCAAATCAATAAAGCAACCAAATATCCATGTCCATCTGCCTGTCTAGTTGCTAAATTAAAATCAGTCAAATAAAGAACAATTTGAAAGGATCCTGGACCACATGGTTTTTGTAGGCGGGTATTATAATGTCTGAAACTTTGTGAAAGGCCTTGTTGCTATTGCCCTCAGTTGTTAGGTCGAAACGGTGAAGATAAGAAAAATATATTGTGAAGCTGTTAAAGTGGTTGAAAAAATGTTGGCAATTTTTTTAGTATACAAGAATGGATTTCGTGATGTAAAAGTCTTGACGAGATCTGAATTTTAAATAAAATTTTATAAAATGTTAACACATTACAAAGAAAAGAATCCGACCTGCAATTATTTATAAGTAATTGTCACTTAAAAATTCAGACATAAATCTATTTTTTTTTAGGATTTCAGAAATGTTAATACAATTTTGTAAAAAATGTTACTTTTCCAGATTTACAATATCAAATTTACTTCGATCTGGCGGTTATAAATTTAGCAGGTATGCACTAAAAAAAATGAATACGAATATGAAAATTCAGATATAAAGCTTCTGTTTCTAACACATCGAGTTTGACACCTAATTTGCCGACATTGTATGAATGTGTGATGAAGTTAGCTTTATATTGGGTTAGAGTTGATTTATAGTTAGTTAGATCGATAACGGATTTTATACCACTAGTACCAAAACAATTTTTCTATAAGTTTTTAACGATAAGAGGCCCCTGACCCCTGATTATCCCCAAATCAAGGAATATTATCCCGATTCTCATCTACCAAATCACAAACCAAATCAAACCAAAAGGAATAATAGATGGACATGACTATGTTGACTAAGTTGTTGATGCCTTTCTTTTAGGTTCAATACACAAAACAAATATTTTTTAAATTTTAGTCAAATGAATTGTTTTCAACTATTATGGTAACACAAAGTAAAACACCGGAAACCAAGTTGACTGCGAGTGTAAGTAAGCCTGATTGCATCTAAGGTCTACGTATTTTGCTATGGACAATGGACAGTGACATTTTGAACTAATGCTCAAATAAATTGTACTTTCATTTGCAGCTGGAACTGTGCTGCCGTTCATCGAGGTACTTTGCTTTCCACATCACAACATTTTCAAATCATTGACATTCATAAACTCACACTTCACTCTGGGATGAGGTGATTCCGTGGGGTGGTGCAGGCAGTTGGGGAAGGGTACTCCATACACAATTTTCCTCTCTACAAAATACTTGGATTTACTACTTTTCGAAGTCCGAGATATTAGTTGGCTTTCAAAACCATTTAACTTTTGTCAATTTATGCATTGCAAAAGACAACCTAGGAACTGAGTAACTAAGGTTTGACGAATTTTGGCACTGACTCAAAACTTTATCAATGAAATCCCAATGTGGTGTTAGACCCGTAATCGGTAATCGGTAATCGGTTATATCGGTAATATTGTGCGTTTCAATTTCTCCACTGCCGCACTCTCACCCGTTTCAAGGAACAAACGTTTCCATCTGGAAGAGTGGCATGAAACTGTGAAATGAAACACTGGAAACAGTGGCATGAGTGCTTAAGTGGAGCAAGGGCGTTGTAGCACACTTCCCCGCGAAACCCCAACCCCACACACACATACTCACACACACACACACACACAGAATTGCACATTCAAAGTGGGTTCGGATGAGACCTAAAGCTTTGACCGCAGCCCCTTGCCCGGGGCTTAGATTGTGCCCTATCTGCTCAGCAGCTGCTCCACGTTGAGGGTCAGCTCCGGGCCGGACCGGGGACCGTTGTTGTTGTCGGGCGCCGTCTGCGAGCTGGAGCCGCTGCTGTGGGCGTACTGCCCGTTCAGGGTCCGCGAGGGGGCGGGCGAGGCGGGGGCGGAGAGCTGCGGCGGGCTGAGGGGCGGCAGCGGCGGCGACTGCGCCTCCAGCGTCGAGGGCGGACTGCGGTTGAGGTTGCTGTCCAGGCTGCTGTGGTGCTGCGAGGAGGCCGGCGACAGCGGGATCTCCTCGATCTTCTCCAGGTCCTGGGTGATCGAGGCCGAGTTCTGCTTGTGGGCCCGCGTCAGCGTGCTCTTCGGACTGCGGGAGGTGTCGTGCAGCAGGGGTATGTCCAGCATGGAGCACTTCGTCCCCCCCGCCGCCGCCTGCTCCCGCCAAGGAAGCGTAGGTGGTGGCCTGCAGGGAGTGCTGGTGGTGCTGGTGGTGTTGCTGCTCTCCCTTCGCCTGCTGGTCGTCGCGGTCCAGGCTGAACTGCCGACGCAGCAGGCGACTGGAGCCGGGCTTGCTGTCGAACCGGGCGGCTCCCCCGCCGCCGCTTCCGGATCCGACCGCCGAGATGCAGGCGCTGCCGCCGCCGCCGCCTCCTCCCTGCCCGCCGCCCGTCCCGCCCCCCGCACTGCCATAGAGGTACTTGCCGTCGTAGAACTGGGTCAGGTTGCTCTCGCTGGGACTGAGGCATTTGTAGTGGTTGTACGGCGAGCTGAGGTCCATCAGCTCCTCGATCTTCTTGTAGAGGCGCGAGCTGGAGCCGCCCGTGGAGCTCGGCAGCCGGTTGAAGCTGTTCGGGTTGAGCAGGTTGTCCGGCGGCATCTCGGAGAGCTTCCGCGACTGCGGACTCGTGCTGCTGGGCGTCGCCTTGCCGGGAAACTCCGGACAGAGGGTGGCGTTCGGGCTGATGGTGTTGGTTGAGTTCGAGTCCAGCGAGTACGAGTTGGGCAGATTGGCCCCGGAGCCGAGGTCGGCGTTGGTCGGCGGCGTTATCTCGACCTTCACCTCCACGGACTCCCCGGCTAACGAGGAGCTCTGCGACGAGGAGGGATTCGTGCTCGTCCGGGACTTGTTGGCCTGCGCCTTCAGGGTGATCGAGTTGCGGATGAGGGACTCATCCAGGCTGTTGGAGACCGTAAAAGAGCGTTACTACATCGGACTGGGAGAGGGAGGCTTCAACATACCCGTGCGACTCCCTAATTAAGTTGGTGGAAAGCAGGTGTTGAAAGGTAAATATTCGGTTAGTGCAAAAATACGTTCAGTATTCGCATTGTGGGTAAGCCAAAATAATGCTAACATATTTAATTTATGAAGTGAAACTGAGTTCTTATATGTTAATTAAAGGATTAAATTCTGATAAAAGAGTTAGGAATTTTAGTTTTCTCGAGTTTTATCCAAGAAATCGTTTGTCAAGCAGCAGTGAATTTAGATGATTTTAAAGCGGAACCCTTTGGTACAAAATGGAGTTGAAAGCTAAAAATTAATTTCCGAAAACTTAAACATAATATTATAATAAAAAAGTATTACTGTTTATTAGTTAAAACCATCATGACTAACAAATTTAATATATGCTTATTTGGGCTAATATTCAAGGAAAGTAAAAAGCAGTAAAACTACACGAAAACAAGAAAGGAAACCAGCTCCGGCAAACCGAAGTTTGTATACCCTTGCAGTCATCAAATATGTCGATTAAAGTGCATAAAGGCTAAACAACATCGGAGCTATGACGACTTTTCTATTAATTTTCCACATTTTCGACTATTGTTCTGGTAGTTAGAGTTATCCGATTTTGATCAAATTTAATCCGAAATTTAATAGTGGTTAGAAAACGCCATCTGGAAAAATTCGAGTCGATCTGATCAAAAACAACGGCGTGAGAATTTTTTATTTCATTCTCTCGTATGGGAGCTATCCGATATAGTCGGCCGATCCAGCCCGTTCCGCCTTATATACTGCGTGTAATAACTACACAAATTTTGGGAAAGTTTCATCAAAATAGTTTGAAAACTGAGAGACTAGTTTATGTAGAAACAGACAGACGGACAAACGGACAAACGGACAGACGGACAGACGACAGACTTGCAGATGTATTTCGATTCAGATGGTGATTATGATCAAGAATATGTATACATATTTAATATTTCTAACTGAAATTATAATATCCTCTGCTCTGTTCAGATATTTCAGATATATCTTCTTAGATTTTGCATGATGTACTCACCCAATAGGAGGTGGTGCAGGGAGCGGCTTGTCGAACCCCTTCTTCCCCAGCAGCCAGAAGGTGTTCATCATGCCCTTGCCCTTGATGTCGATGAGGCCCCTTGGCTCGATGGCGTAGCCACCACGAGCTTCGAGTCGGTCCCTGGTCTCCTGGGACATGTGGATTCGCCAGGAGGACCCTTTAAATCATAGATAGAGGTAGGAATATGTGGTGATGGGGAGATTGCCTCTGCCCTTACCTGTGGACTCCATCCGCGAAGCCGTGTTGACCGTGTCGCCGAACAAACAGTACCTGGGCATCGTGAGGCCCACCACGCCTGCGCAGCAGGGACCCGTGTGGAGCCCGATCCTCAGCTGCAGTGGCACTCCGGGTAGGTGCTTCACGTTGAAGCGACCACTCTGGTGCAGCAGGTCCAGGGCCATGGTGGCTATCTGCTCGGCGTGATCGGGAATCTTCACTGGCAGCCCGCTCACCACCATGTACGCATCGCCAATAGTTTCCACCTGTTCGAAGTAAAATAAGCAGAGGAAATATAAGTTAACTAATCAACAACTTGAACTAGACTACAACTATTATTACTTATGTAGCAAGCAGCCCTATGTACATATATGTACCTATTATTAAGCACTGCTTGATAAGCAGTTAACGTTATTGTGTATCCCTTAAGTAAGTCATCCTCTATGTCCCCCTTACTCCTTTAAGAAACACCATGTAAACCCATCTCTAAGTATGTACGTCTTTCTCTTGCACATACGAGATTGTGAAATAGGCTAAGCATTAACAGAGATGATGAAATAAAGATCACTTTTGCTGCGACCACTGAAGAAACAAGACCCTGATTGTATCACTACACTTACTGTATATATATATATATATATATATATATATATATATATATATATATATATTACTATTATTACTTGAACACAATCACTCACCTTGTACACATTGTAGGCATTGATCGTGGCATCGAAGATCGTGTACAGATCGTTGAGCAAATCCACAACCTGCACCGGACTGCAATGGGCTGCAATTGTTGTAAAACCAACAATGTCGCTGAAGTATATGGTGACATCGGAGAACTCTTCTGGGTCGACGGCCAAGCCCATCTTCAGCTTCTCAGCAACCGAGCTTTGGGTTGGAGTGCGATTATATTTTATGCTAATTAGAAGTAACTACTATAGATCTCACCTTGGCAACATGCGATTCAACAGCTGTTCAGTCTTCTTTCGTTCGATGTCCAGTTGCTCGGTGCGCTCCCGAATCAACTCCTCCAGGTTGTTCGAGTACTTCTCGAGCATTTGGAACATGGTGTCCACAAAGTTGACCTTGCGTCCGTGGTTCAGCATTTTGAAGCGCTCGTAAACTCTAAGAGGCGTCAATAAAATATGAAGTGGTGTTACTAGTGTTACTAAAGGCCAAGGTATCGTACACTGGAAACATGAGCTACTGCTGTTTGAATTATCTTAAAAGGTAGTAGAGAGTAGTAGAGTTGTGGTCTCATAAGTGTAGCAAGCAGCCCTATGTACATATATGTACCTATTATTAAGCACTGCTTGATAAGCAGTTAACGTTATTGTGTATCCCTTAAGTTAAGTCATCCTCTATGTCCGCCTTACTCCTTTAAGAAACACCATGTAAACCCATATCTAAGTATATACGTCTCTCTCTTGCACATACGAGATAGTGAAATAGGCTAAGCATTAACAGAGATGATGAAATAAAGATCACTTTTGCTGCGACCATGGAAGAGAAAAGACCCTGATTGTATCACTACACTTACGAGTTGAAGTCGGGTCGCATGTCGGGCTGCTCGGCCCAGCACTGGCGCATGATGTTGATGGCCTCCGGCGGAGCGGCCCCCTTGGACACGGAGGGCCGGATCAGAGGTGGGGGCTTCTTGATCTTGGCGATGATCTCCTCGGGCGCCAGAGAGAGCATGCAGTAGGGCTCGCCCCGGACCACCACCTCCTGCATGATGATCCCGAAGGAGTAGACGTCGCCGAGCTGCGTGCCCAGGTGCACCCGCCCGTGCTGGTGGTGGTGGTGGTGCTGCTGCTGGTGGAGCTTCATGCTGCGAAGCAGCTCCGGGGCCGTCCAGAGCAGCTCCTTGGCGCTCCGGGGCCGCGGCGTCAGTCCCTGCGTCTCGTAGAACGAGTTCAGGCCGTAGTCGGTGATCTTGAGGACCCACCGGGCGTCCACCACACAGTTCCTGGAGGTCAGGGCCCCGTGGACCCGCAGTGGGGAGGTGTGCAGGTACCGCATGCCCCGCACCAGGTCGGTGAGTAGGCTCAGCCGGAAGGACCAGTCCAGCTTGATCTCGTCCATGATCAGGACGTCCTGCAGCGAGCCCCTGGAGCAGTAGTCGAACACCATGGCCGTGCGGTGGGGGTCGGACAGCCAGCCGATCAGCGGGTTGATGTTCTCGTGCCTCAGCCCGTGGGCCATCACTAGCAGGTCCATCGCCTTGGAGCGCAGCTCCGCGGAGCCGTTCAGCTGCACCTCCTTCAGCTGGACCAGGTCGCCGTTGTAGCGCGCCCTCATGTCCAGGTGGGCGGGGTTGTGCCTGGCCAGACTGCCCGCGGCGGAGGATCCGCCCTTCCCGTTCGCCGTGGCCGTGATCGCTCCCGCTGAACTGCCCGGTGCGGCTGCCCCCGGAATGACGAAGCCCAGGTTCTTCAGGGAGCCAATGGAGCCCTTGAGGAGGTCGGGCTTGTCCACCTCCGGGCCGCCGAACTCCTGCAGCTGCTGCAGCCAACAGCAGAGCATGGCCTCTATGCCCTCGTCCACCTGAAATCATAGGTAGGTTGGATCCGAGGGACAGAAGGAAGGGGCGGAACTCACCCTTCGCGAATCCACGGGAAAGACGAAGTCGCTGGCGGAAAGGACTATTTTGTTGGGTCCCTTGGAGAGACGCTTTCGTAAGAAGTAATTTCTGCAAATTGAAAATATGTTTAAATACCTTTTGAAGCTTCGGTTTTAATATATAAAGTTCACTTTTCAAAAAAGAAAACGTTATTAAAACAAGAAAGAAAGCTACCTTTGGCAAGCCGAAGCCTATATACCCTTGCAGTCATTAAATATGTCGAAGAAAATACATAAAGGCTAAACAGCATCGAAGCTATGACGATTCTTCTATTCATTTTCCATATTGTTCATATGACAGCTATATGATATAGTCGTCCGATTTTGATGAATTTAATTTAAAATTCAAGAGTCATAAGAAAACCTTATATTCCAAAAACCATGATTGTCTGGTGAAAAACAACGATGTTATAATTTTATTTCCGTTATTTCTATATAGATATTTCGATCTTTCCTATGGCAGCTATATGATATAGTAGTTCGATTTTTATGAATTTTTATGAATTTTTTTTGTTTCTTTGGCAACTAGATTGTATGGTCGTAGGTTTTTAATGAAATTTATTCAAGTTTGTTAAAAAAATTTTTATTCGAACAATTACGCTTGTACTATATAAACAAACGCGTAATAATTTGATTTCTTTTTAATGGTTATTTAATTAAATATTATTACGTCTAAAAAGCGTCTGCAAATAAAATGATTTCTGCAGCATCCTGAATTTGTGGCAAATCTTGTTTTAATATGCACAGCTTGGGTCCACACTTTTTGTTACACCTTTCGAGGGCGTGATTTCCCACCTTTGTTCACTGCGATCTGCATTTATTACCCTACCACCGTTTATGCATTACCCCGAAAATACGACCCCCGGGTCAATGTGGTGAGACCGTAAAAACTTTGACCTTCTGTTGCCCCGGACTGGTCCTGCTCCTGGCCAGAAACCAGGACTCGAACAAAAAGGGGAGCCTGCGAAACCGCTAATTCATGCAGCGATTGTTATGCTAGAAGTTTGCCACGTGGACACAACTAAGTTGGGTTAAGTGTATTATAGGGGCATTAATGGCCTGCCCCTGCCTGCTGCCTGAGGAAAAGAACTATTTCCGCACACGTGTACCGGGTCTTAACTTGATTTCAAACTTACCCAACCCAAAAAAGGAACTCTGTTTAGTTAAGAGGCCTCTGTCTGGCAGAACTTTTTGGCAGAACTTAATGAGCTCTAACGTAATTATCATAAACATAATAATTATAATTTTAAATATCAACGTTGCCACTTAAATGTGCATAAAAAACCAAGACCCTTTTTCATAATTTTGTTTTTCTATTTGGGCCTAGCGTTACTACCAAATATATACAGCATCGGGTCCAAGGAACCCATTTTAGAAAATGGTTTTATTACATGAAAACTATGGATAATTCGATACCAGTTTTCAAGTTTCAGGTTGAATAGTTATTTTTTGAAAAAGCTTTTATATTTTTTAATAAAATATCATAATAGTTTTTAAATAACAAAAAAATAGGTAAACTGATACGGCTAATCGTTTTAGTTTTACTTCCTGATTACTAAAATAATTAAAACGGGAATAGACGATTCTTTTACCAAAACTGAAATGTGCGAAGCCGCACCGACGACAGCGGGGGTAAGAACCGTTGCCGCAACGACGCCATTTCATAGAGACATTTTATATGGCATTGCCGTTTTCGGTATACATGTGTTCTAAGAGTGAGCAAGAGAGGGAAATTCAGGAATATCCCTTTTCCATTCCTACACACATGATTGGTAATTGCCACAATTCACTTGTGAACAGCCAGAACTGCAGGGAATGTACAAATTTCATATTGCTCAGCCATAGGACGGAGGTCTAATTGCATATTTAAACGGTATTTAAATTTTAAAAAGTTGCCTTCGCATAAATTTGAATGTTTTTGTTGGGTGTTTTTTCGCGGATTATACCAACACTTTATCATGCCCGAGGGTGTTTAAACATTGTTGTTCTAGAGCTCCTTTTTTGTTTCTGCCCCGGTTGCGTGCTTTCTCGTTTTCCCTCACAGGTGTGGCCTTCCTGGCCTGGCTGGTCAGTTGTTGGTTTATTTTGGATTCCCTTTTTGTTCCGTGTCGCTCTCGCTAATTAAAACTTCATGAGTTGCACTTTAGCTGTCGGGGCTGCAAAAAAACTTTGCCTAGTTGCGGTTTAAAGTTGCCAGCAGTGTCAACTAGTTTAAATCAAATAATTTCAGTAGCGCTTATTGCGGGTCTGGGTTAATCGGGGTTTGGGCATTTACAACAACAGTACGTGTTGTCGGCATGTCAAACAGTTAATGATTTGCCCCACCGCACTTGGCGTGTTTTTGCATAAATGTCATCTGCCTGGTGACGGGTGTGTAGTAAAGCGCTTTAATGGAGGCAATTAATTAATTAAACGCTTGTCTTAATGGCGCAACCATTGTATGTCACTGAATTTAACCGAAGAGCGAGTGGAGTGTGCAGTCGGGTATTGATTTTCTGAACTTGATTTTTGCCAAACCGCAGACTGCAAAGTTATGTGAACTGCGCTATAGAAACTATATACTAATTGGCTTAAATCAGTTTAAAATTTCACTCTAAAAAGAAATCAACAGCTTTTTTTACTGTATCAATTTTTAAAGCATTATTGAAAATAATTGCAATAAAATAGTTTACAAAATAAAATAAAAACCATGTAGTCGAAATTAATGAATTTATTAAGTTGTAGATTAAGTTAAATGAACAATGATTACCAACAATGAGTACCTACTACTTATAAATAGATTGCAGTGCAGTAGCTTATTGCATTTTTTCTTAACAACCAAAAATGTAAAAAGCTTTAAAATTCCTTGAGGGAAAACAATCGAAAGCAATTAAAAAGGGAAGAGAGCGGAAACTTTGGTTTGTGTGTCAATTTTAAAACATTAATTCGGGGCTTGGATATGAAAAAGAATAACCTTTTAGGCAAATTGATCATTTTTAGGTTAAAGCAGACCGGAATCCAAGTTTCTTCTTAGTAATTACAAGTAATACAATTCTACTTGAAAGGTTCCATTTTTATCTGGTTATATGTGTGTGACTTAAGTAAAATTATATTAGGTAACTTAAGAAACTGCCCGATCTCCTATTCCCCAGTCACTATCGAACACATTCTCGCCCTATGTCCCGCAATAGTCCTATTTAAAAATACTGTTCTTAAGAACAAAAATGCAACATACTACCTCAGCAACCCATCACAAGAAAACATAAAAATATTAATTGAATTCCTTAAAATTACCAAACTATATAACATCGAAAAAACACATTAAAAAAAAAATTGTAAAATGTAAAATAACAATGTAAATAATAATGTAAATGTAATTGTAATTGTAAATTGTAAACCATTATATCACATAATATAAGTACAGACAGTCGATGGCCTCAGCAGCTAGTACTACAACTTTCTTTAGTTAGTTTAAGTTTTATAAGCTATTCTAACTACAATATAAATAAAAATAAAAAAAATATTAGGTGACACAGCAGGCCGCCAAAATTAGTTTACTTTTTATTTTATTTTCGAAAACATCTTTCCGAATTCAGTCCAGTGTTGCACCAAAATGTAAACCTATCGTAGACGACTCACCTCATGGCGACTCCTGCGGCCACGATGCCCACAACGATGATGGCCAGCAGGCCGACGCAGATCGCCGCGATGGTCCAGCAGATGGCGCCACACTGCCACAAAAGGACGCTGCTGACCAGCAGCCACTCGTCGTAGCCCGGCTGCACGGAGTGGGTGATGTAGGCGCCGCCCGCTCCGCCCCCTGGCCCCCCCCTCGCCGCTCCCCCTGCCGCCCTCGAGGATGAGCAGGGGCCGCCACTTGTAACTGGCCAGCAGGACATCCCTAACGATGTCCAGCACCACGAAATCGTATTTGGGACTCGCTTCGGGGGAGTCCGCTTCGGCGGCAGTGGCTGTGGCCACTACGGCGTCGTAGAGCGGGAAGAGGCTACGATGCGGGAAGAGCTTGTCCAGGCTGTTGTTGCGATGGCGAGTGGGCAGTGGTTCCGAGTGGTTTCCACGCCCCACATTTCCGAGGGGCGTGCGAAAATTCTGCATGGCTGACATCAGGCCGGCCGCGTTGAGGAAGAGCCGGTGCCTGTCGCTCAGCAGCGTCAGCACCAACAGATTGCTGCTGACCACTCCGGCGGACGAGCTCGTGTTGCCCAGGGTCTCCCTCCTTGCCGTCGTCCCCCCCATCCGCGCCAAATATTTGTAGAACCGGTGCTGGACGTCCAACGAGCTGGCAGCCATGTCGATGAGCAACACTTTGGTGTGCTGCCTCCTCTCGCCCGAGTCCCCCGCATCCTTCTCCGCCTGCCGCGCCCACTCCGCCCCGATGGAGGCGAGCAGGCGTGTGGTGCTCGCATCGCTCAGCGGGGCGGTGATAATAATGGCTGAAAGTCGACACCGAATGAAATGAAAGCTTAGTCAGTTTGAGTTTGGTTCGCTTTGGGAATGCACTTTTCAAGCCAAAATCAAAAATTCATTTACGATTGCATTCTCGCATTTAAGCTGCTTGTTTTGCGGTGATTTAAGTTTAAACTAAGGTATGATTTAAGTATATAAGTTGATGCACTCGCACTTTTAGAACCGTTTACATGATTTTTCGTAAAGTGCGGAAGGTTGCGATACTCACCTTTGCCCGGCTTGTCCAGCGAATGCAGCTCACGTATTGTCCTGCCAATTTCGATGCGATACGGCACATGCAAGTTGGCTGCTATGGCCAGTCCTAGGCCCCAATTGTCGTCTGGAAAGTACAGAGAGAGATGGAGGGGATGGTGAGACGAGCAGGGCGGAGGACGTCGAAATTAAATTGCGTTTTTGTGGCACGTAAAGAGTTGGTGTCATGAGGACACACATGACACACACATGACACACACATGACACACACATGACTGTTGCACCATGCGCCATCCCCTTTGGCTTCCGCATTCAGTATTGGGTTTGTAATGAGCGTTTTCATCGGGGCTCTGTATGTGGTTCGCTTATTCGGTTCTATCCGATGGTCACGGAAAAGGGATACGGAACTGGTTTTGGGACTAATTTAAGGACAACGGAGCCAAAGTTTCAAATAGGTTAAATACAGTCAATTCGGTAAAGGACACTTGTTGGGATTTTAAAAGGACAAAAACAGGCGAAAGGTCAATTTTGTTAAGCAGCCGTTCGTTTTGTATTTCCTCAATGTTTAATAACAATATTTAACAACTGGTTTAACGAGCAGGGAATGTATTCATTTTTGATTTATTTTTGGATTAGCTCCATTATAAGTGTTTTCATATTCACTATTAATAAAGTAAAAACCTTTTTGATACCCTTACAATTTTGCATTTGTCATCAGTCAAGATGTTTGAGACAGGTTTGTCTGAAAGGAAACAAATAGACTACAACCAAGCTTCCTTTTTCGGAGAAGGGAGACTAAACGACGACCTCTTAGATGAAACCAATAATTAAGGAAAGATTTACAATCTTGTTCACACTGAATCTAAACTGGTCTAATGCCCAATTCCAGTAGTTTAATAGCCCCAGTTTAAACATTCAACGCAATTTGAAATGGTTTTTGGATCGAATCCCACATATAACTAATAGAATTTGCAGCGGCAGCTCCTGAATCCTGGTTTCGGGGGCTTCTGTGACGGGGTCACCGCCGCCTCCTCCAAGTGGGGTCTGGCCCCCTCGGGCGGCTCGTCCAGCCTGCCCAGCCCGGCCATGAAGCCGCAGTGCTTGCGCGCCTCCCTGGGGCAGGGGCACTTGTCCACAGTGGCACCTGCCACCTTGGCAGCGAACTCCTGCTCCGTGGACGGCGGCCGGAGCACGTACTTGTTGGGGTTGCAGGCCATGATCCGCCAGTTGGGGTGCGGGGCGAGGTAGTCGGTGCCCTTCTCCAGGATCTCCCTGGCCAGCTGCTTGCACACCACGGGGTTGTCCACGGCGGCCATCAGGCGGCTGTCGAACCGCTTCTCCTCCTCCGCCTGGATGCGGCGCATCTCCTTGATCTGGGCGTCCAGATCCGCCTTGTAGCGCATCTGCCGGCACACGGTCATCTCGTGGGTGACCTCCGGGTGGACGAAGCGGTTCTCCATCATCTTGTTCTCGCGCAGCTCGGCGTCGGAGCGGATCCTGCGCTCGTAATCCTCGCAGACCTGCTTCCGCAGGATCTCGTAGCACTGCTCGGCGGCCTCCCGCTTGATGCGCACCCGCTCGGTGATGTTCACCTTGGTGCACACATCCAGCTGGTAGAGGTCGGCGGTGCGCTCGTCCATCATCTTCTCGATGCCCAGCTCGAGGGACTGCATGCGGCGCAGGTAGGCCAGGTACTCGAGGGTGGCGCGGTTGAGGTCCTTCTTGCCCTGGGCGATCCTGGCGCGGGCCTCCGCCTCCAGGCGCTCCGTCTCCCGGCAGAAGGCCGCGTGCTCGGCCTTGTCCGCCTCCCACTCCGTCAGGCGGGCGCAGCGCTTGCGCTCGATCTCCTGGAGCAGCTCGGCCTGGTAGGCCAGCTGGTCCACCGGGGCTGGCTGGTGCTCCTTGTCGAACTCCTCCAGGCGAATCTCCTCGAGCAGCGCGTTGATGACCCGCTCGTCCTCGCTGCGCTCCGCCTCCGCCTCTCTGCGCTTCTCCTCGTGCTCGGCCACCTGGATGGCCAGGACGTGGTTCACCTGCTCCTGCATCTGGCGGCGCCTCTGGTTCTCCTCCGCCTGGTGGCAGTCGAACTGGGCCCAGCGGCGCCGGTTCAGCTCCAGCCAGTACTGCTCCTGCTGGCACTCGCGCCGCTTCCGCCTCTGGTTCTCCAGGATCTGCTCCTCCTGCACGATCTTCGTCTCCACGAGGTCCTGCTGCCGCAGAGCCTCGCGCACCTCGTAGCAGTCGAGCATCACCTGCTGGACGTACTTCTCCTCGAGGAACTGCTTCTGCTGCTTGGCCACCTGCTCCTTGATGGCGTGCAGGTGCTCCTTCCGCTCCTTGATGTCCTGGTCGATGCGGGTCTTCACCGTGTTGGAGAACTCCTCCTCGTAGCGCTTGTCCTCCTCCTCCAGCATCTTCTTCAGCCGGCGGCTGCGCTCCTGCAGCTCCGTGGCGGCCACCTCCTTCGCCTTGGCCACCAGGAGCCCGATCTGCGTGTGCAGACTCTTGCGGTCCGTCCGCGTGATGAAGTTGAAGTGGTCCTCCCCGCGCCCGGAGTTCTGCATCGCGGCGAGATTATCGAAAGTAACTAAAAAAAATGTATACAAGCGGGCAGTGAAAATGCTCTACTAATTTCAAAGGCGGCTGTGGACTGTGGACTGGACTCTGGCAATTTCGTGACGGATAAATCATATAGACTTTCATTTTAAACCTTGTTTTTTTTTTTTAATTTTTCTTTAGTGGGTATCGTATAAGTACACCTCTTACCGAGATACACGAGAAACTCATGACGATCCCTTCCAAACCGACAAATAATCAATTGTGTGACGAGCAATTATTATGGTTTTTCCAACAAATATAGCAATTTCAAGTTCTAACAATTCTTCCCGAACTCCTCTGAAGGCAATTCTCATCAGTTCTCGCCCAAACTATATTGCATTTAATAGTTTTTTTCTTGAGTGTTTATTTTATTAGAACTACTTATTTTACCACAATGTCGTAGTAGTTATATCATACATTAAAAGCTTTATATACTTATAAATTTTGAAAACAAACCAACTAACCAATCTTCTCTTCAATAAATTATAACTACATGTTTCATAAATCCGGATATAATTCTTTCAAAATCTGACTTTTTTACCGTAAATTATTTATAGTGACAATTGAAAATTTTAAAGAAGAATTCTACATCTAGCTATAAACATTTCAAAATTGGTTTTTTTGTGGCGCTTGTGTTTTGTACAGCATACTTTTTAGGGTCCATTCTAAGAAAAAAAGTTTTCAAATTACCGACAACAACAATTTGGGACAGAATTGTGCAGGGACTATAAAAAATGTAAAAAAAAAAAAAAATATATATATAATACCAAAAAAAACACATGAAATAATTGGGAAAATCTATAAAACTTATGGTAATCACAAACCAAATTTAAAGCTCACTATACAGTACAATTTTAATTCTTTGAATTCAGTTTTAACTGTTAAAATATATAACTTTAGCTTTGAAAAGTTAGATCCCTTTTTTGCTTTTACAATTTTAAGAAAAATCAATAAAAACATAACTGATAAATGGGCCCCCAAGGCACACAGGTGGATAAAACTACCTATATCTCTGACCAGAAGACTCATAGATCATAGGAGCTAATGAAAGGTGCATAAAGAGCAATCTCAACCTAAGAGATAGACATGGCATTGTTCAGATTTATAAAGCAGCTATCTCTGCCATAAATTGTGTACTAAAACACACGATAGCGTGGATAAAGGTGGGACAAAGATGGTAATTGATAACTGAAATTAGCTCATCACTCCGGCCTTTCATTAATTTATATTTAAGGTGAAACATGTTATAGAATTATTTAGATTACGGTAACTTAGCCGGCTACATCGTTTTCTTTCCTTACTTTCTGCTTCCCATTAACTCAATTAGCAATGCAGCTGACAACATGCTAATTAACTGAGATGTGAGCTGGAAAACCTTTCCAAAACTCGGAGGCAGCCAAGTGAGCAGGAAAAGAAGCAGAATTTCCTCATTTTCTTAGAGGGCAAAAGAGGAAAAGGGGCAGCGGATGAAGACTTATCCCAAAATTAAACTGAACAGAATTTCAACAACAACTTTCGACGGAGAAGCTTAATACCCTGGAGCAGATCCTAAAAATGAAAAAGGTCGGGCTTGCTACAAAAACATATACATACACTTTAAAATATTTGCCTATTAAAATAACGGTAACCCATATCTCAGTAGTGTAGCAGGCTGGTAGTATTAAGAGCTACCAGATGTAACAGGGTGGTACTTAGTACTGGTAGTATTAAGAGTTACCATATAATTGTTATTGAATAAGTTATCGATAAGATACCATCCATGGCATACCGACTTTTGATAGAGACTTGGAGAACAACGCATGTGTAAAAAGTTTAAAAAGAAAGAAATAAAATAAAGACTACTACAGTAGTCTATACTCTTAAAGAGGGCGTCGGTAGTTTTAAAACAGCTCCAACAGCCCACGAACAGGGTTATATTGAATTGATGTTTACTAAGAACACTCATACTTTCTTTCCATTTCTTGTTAAAGTACAAAACGTCTTTTCATTTTACACTTAGCAGGTGTGGAAAGTGAAAACAGACGCTAGTTCGAGCTGAACTTTAAAAAGTTTCCATAATTTTTTCAATGGACGACTGTGTAAGGGGTCTCATACCACGATTTTATGGCATTCTTTTCTCAATACCGCGTTTATTACGTGGATCCCCAGAGTGGATCCGCCACTGGTGACACAGAACTTTGCCACTGGGACGGGAGGGCGAAGAGCGGGGAGCGGGGAGGCTTCTCGTGCGATTGGCAAGTTCATGTTTGCCCAAGTGCAAAATTGTGCAATTACGCAGCGCAGCAGAAACTGGAAGGACGAAGGCGAGGACGACATCCTGCGATGCTCAGCGTGAGCCTCTGCCATATGCACTCCGGCAGGATTTTCTTTTGTTTCCATTCCGGCACTCTGCCGCACCGAAGACAAAGTTGTGTGGTTGCGTTTTGAGGCAATTTGCATGCTCTCCGCGAGCAATAACAAATACAAATGCATAACTGGCGCACAAAGATAACGGTTCGCGGGTGCCTGTGTGATAAGCAGTTGCAGCTGTCGGGTTTGAAGTCAAAGCAGTGGGGGAAGTGCTGTTTCTGACTCGATTCAGTTCCCTTTCAAGCAGTGGCAGGTACTCTTCATTATGCGATTCCTGCATTAACTACGAACTGGCCTCTCGTGTGGTTAACTTCTCTGCGTTTTCCGCAATGCCAAGGCTTAAGCACACACACACTCACTCGAGGGTTTCTCTATAGGAAATGCGCACACTTAGCGCAACTGTCTGCCGCACCCGCACACACATGCACTCGCACACAGGGCACTCTCACACGCATACGGACGAGTGCTCTTCTCGCTCGTATTTGCATTTGTGCTTTTTCATTTTATGCATTTTAATATTCATGCGCTCGACTCAAAATTTAAATTGCGGCGCGTTCACTCGAAGCTGCTGGGTATGTGCGATTTTCTACGCGCTTAGCGACCAAAAACAGCTGCCAAATTAATGCAGTTTTGAGTCACTAACTGGCTTACATTATTGTGGTCAGTGGTCTATTAAGCAGTAAACAGCAGACCTGTAACCAACAACAATTTCAGAATTCAGTGTCCATAGTGATTAAATAGTTGAAAGGCACGATCGATAAGTAAGTTTCCCTTCGCTTATAGTTATTCATTCCGTGCCTTCAAATTAAAGGTAAATTTGATTGTTACCATGTCTTTTTATTTACAAGGACATCTAAATAATTGCTAATAAAAATGTGGCCCAATAGGATCTAAGGAAAATATTAATTTTACAATTCAGGCCGAAGGACTTAGTATCCAGTGCCTTACAGTACATTAACTTTAGTATTAAATACTAGATTTAATTTGTTAAATTAAAATACAATAAATTTTACAATTGATAGTTTTTCAATGTTACCAAATTTTTAGAGGCAAATAATATTTAGGAGTTACTATTACCTTAAAACAGCAACCCTCTTTTAGTATTAGTATTGGTATTAGATCAAATTATCAGAATTGCTAAGTATCTTTCAACCTTATTACATTAGGAATTCGGAAGGCCATCAAGAATATCCTAAAGTGGTTATTACTTTTTACTGGTACTCTAATTTAAAGACCAATTATACATTTGGATTCCTTCAGCTGTTATATGGTTGATGAGGCTTTATATTGGCTAATCAATTTTCGTAGAAGCCTAATTTGTTGATAAGCAGTTGCAGCTGTCGGGTTTAAAGTCAAAGCAGTGGGGAAGTGCTGTTTCTGACTCGATTCAGTTCCCTTTCAAGCAGTGGCAGGTACCCTTCATTATACATTATCCTTCATCTATTATATGGTTGATGGGGCTTTATATTGGCCAATCAATTTTCGTGAAAATGTAGAAGCCTAATTTGTGGATTATAATATAAATATTTTAGAGAAAACACGTTATACGCACTAGTATATTGTCCGCAAGTGTGCAAGGTAGGTGTGTAGAGTGCATCCGAGTGCACTGGCTGTTTTTCGGGTTGGCTAGTGAGTTTGGCCAGCCAAGCGTTGTTATTTACAATCAAATATCCAACAGTGGCACCAAGCAAAAAAAAAAAAAAAAAAACAGCACGTAAAAAATGCGCAGCCAAAGGATACAAGCAGGAAGGGAAAAGTGCATTGAAAATTTCGAAATATTACAGAAGCCGCAAACATTCAGCGCCACTTTGTCCTTGCCAAACATCAAATTTCAGGCGGCCAAACGTATAAATGCGACCTGCTGCGCTTTTACTCTCAGTTGGGTTAGTTTAAAAAGTTATTTCTTCTGGTTTCTGTTTGTTTTTTTTTGTTGCCGCGAAACCAAAAATCGTTACAAAAAACTGCGCCTGAAAACACGCAGCAGCACAAATAAATGGCCGGGCAGGTAAATAAATTGGCCAAAGCCATAAAGAGGGGGAGGGGTATAAACTGTGGCAGTCTGTGGGTGCTCACTGGAACCGCACTCATTTATCTAAGCTGCGCCACGCCTCTTCCCGGATCCCTTAAATGCAATCAGCACATGCCGCACGTGGCGTATGCGCTATATCATTTGCATAGGCTCCCGCCATTTGGATGATGTCAGCACTTCAATTGCCCGAGTTGTGGCAAGCTGCTCCTGACTCTGGAAAGTTTGCTGTCGAAGGGAAATGAGAGTAAGAGAGATTCGAGTAAGCCGGATCTTGCACTGCAGGCCAGCAGCGTTGCCGATTTAGCTATTTCCCTGCTAGATCTAGCGGTTTTCAAAGCAAAATGCGGGATGAATTGAAAACTAGCGGTTAGCGGGAATTATAGCTATTTTCAAAAACATCCGGTACCTTCTTGTATTTGTAATGCTTTTGCAAATATTGCAAATCTAGCATTAATATAAAACCTTGCGATTTGCACGCACATACCAAACATAAGTCTTCATTATCTGCTTTTTTACAGACTAACAAAAAAACGTTTGTTACATCTGTTTCTGCAAAAACCTGCCAGAAAAAAGCGACATATAAACTACTTAAAAATACTTAATAAATAAATGAAAATGAAATAAATAAAATATCCTTTCACTAACATATGTAGCTTTATACTTTAGCTATCAACCAAACCAGAGGAGTTGGCAACACTGCAGGCCAGCCGGGCCATTAAGTGAGCATCACAAGCTTGTTTGTCCATCAAAAACAAGTTTGAGTTCACAGCCAGTTCCGCACGCATGTCATGTCAAATGGCACTCGAGTTAACCCAGTGCTACCAAACTTTCGTCCTTAAGTATTCACACATTTGCCTGGCAATGGGGCGACATTAAAAATTAAGCCGTGTTTTACCCACACGCCTGCCCCAAGATGTGCGACTCATTCGTTACGTTTAATGGCGAGTTTTCGAGTGTTATCAGCACAGAGTCAGGCTCCGAACTCGCTCATAATTAAGTTTAAACTCGAGCGTGGGTTCTTGCGGCTGAGAAAATACTTGCCGCACACTTTGCAGCTGTTCTCTTGGCAGTTCTCACTGTTGATTGAGGCTGAGGAAAAAGTTGGCGCAGTCCATCGAAATGCAATTAAAGTTGCAAATTGCTTTTGTTCGCACACACAATTTACATAATGCAGTCGATACAATCTTCAGCGCAAACTTGCCGCAGTGTGCGGCACAGTCCATTGATTGGATGCCCCGTGTTGTCATCGGCTTCGTCATCGATGACAGAGATAACGCAAACTGGAAATTGCAAGTTTCCCCCGCTTCGAGGCCAAAGTCAGAGGGAAAGTCAAGCCAATCAGCGCGAAGGCTGGCCCAACAAATCGCCGGCATATGGCCCTGCTCTGGGTCACCTTTTTACGGCCCTGACTCCATTAGCTGTCACTTAGGGCGAAACAAATCATAAACAAGAGGACGGCAGCCCGCTAATTAGGCTGTCATAAAAGCCAGAGCCTCGCAAACGCTGATGAGCGTTGGCCAAAAGTCCGGCCATCCCGGCCCATCACGTTAATTGTTAAACACTTGAGATTAATGTCTACTTGCGGAGTGTCCTCGGTTTATGGCCTATTTATAGACAAAGATGTTGCAGCATTATTCATAAAAATGTTTCGAGTCCCAGCAGGATTGGTAGCTTCGTAGGGGAATAAATCAAAGGAAGTGCGTGAGAATGTTCCTTCCGACTCTCGCCATATTTTCCGCACTAAGCGGCCTTCATGGACTTCCGACCGTCTTGGAGGTTCCGACATCGTTCACCTCCCTGAACGGCTGCCCAGATGTGCCTCTTCTCCGGTGAATCTGACTGGTCACGTTCTATGGATGCTTAATGTGCTCGATGTGTGCGAGCATTAGTCGCTTCAAGCTCCAGAACGCTTACATGGGTGCTCTTCCCTAGACTATCATGCACACTGGACCCTATAAAACATGTGCTTATTACAGAGCCTGATTGGAAATATATGGTCCTCTAGTCGATTGAAGTCATGTGTACCATGTTCTTTAAATTTCTTTAAACGTTGTCGCTTTTTTATGGGTTGTAAGTAAAAATCAAGGCATCATAGCAAACCTTCATTCATTGGATATAAGTGGAATATTTAATCGCTCCTTTTGATGACTTGAAAATAGGTTGCTGTAATGATGACTAAGGGAGTAGAATTGAAAACATTTTGTAAGCACTTTTAGCTTAAACTACCAAAATATATGGGCCGGCGTCCCCAGCACATTTAAAATTTCCTTATTCTTGGCTTTGTTTCATGGTTTCGACGCAGAACTTAACGGCTGTCTGACTGATTTTATTAGCTGGCATTTGGTTATTCAGCCAAGATATCTTTTGTTCCCACACCAGCCATGACATCTGAATTTGCCGAGGGTCTGTGAGCTTCTCTGTTGTCTTGGCTCTGTGGTTTGCCCTGGATTTTATTTTATAACTTTGTTTTTATGCCATTTCTCAGTTGCTCAGCTGCTGTCACATAATTTGCACTTTTTACTTTCTTCTGATTTGTTTTGCCACAGCAAAGTTGCTGTGGAGAGCAGGAGAGGGGTCAACAAACTTGGTCCGACGAGAAATGGCCACTTTAGAGAGAAGAAACTACCGAGGAAAATGAGTGATGAGATATAAATGGAGTTGCCCGCCTTAACTGAAATGTATTGTTACAACATATTTTGCATTCCTGATAAAAATTGCATTTTAGATAAAAATTTAAACTCAATTTAAGACTGCTCCTTCCGATTTGTTCATTTTCAACTTTAACCTTTAACCTAGAGCAATCTTGTGGCTACCAGCGGTTTCCGATTTCGATTAATCTTTAATTGGTTGCCAGGGGTTAAACGGCTGCGTTTGATTGCCAGCTTAACTAATTGGGGAACACTAGGAGTATTTAAATAGGACGTAACTGGCTGGTTCGCCTGATTAGCGCGGCCACCTAATTAAATTCCAGATGCAGCAGTGTCAACTTAATGGGGATCTGTTTGCCCTTCCCCCCATCCCACCCCACCCTTTTGCCCCACTGTCTCCCCACCTCCCTTCCATTTCCACTTGCCATCTTTCTGCGGCTGTCAGCGTTTGTGCAAACACTCGTCGGGTAGACACACGCACACAGAAACACTGACACACACAGACACAGGGACAGCGTTAATCATAATAATGTCACCACTAATTGCGTTGCGTATACGCACACGTGTACTTCGCGTTGGCTACAAGCAGCTTCCCCCTCCCCCCATCGGCCCGTTCTTATTCCTGATGACCCCATAATTTGGCATTACGTGGGCGCGACTCCAGCCTCGGCCACGCCCACCTACCGCCCATTGGATCCCCTCGGCAAATGTGTTTATTTAACATTTAGGCAACCAGCTTTGCCCTTAACCACGAAACGAGGATTGGAAGTAATCGACCCCGCCATCGGATGTGATGAAAGGGGATTAAGGTGGGGATGTTGGGGCTTCTCTCTTAAAAGTGGGCTTATAATTGGACAGCCACATAAAGAAGTTGGGGTTGCGTTGGATAATTAGTAAACTTTTGATGGAGGTCATTACAGCTAGAACATCAAGAAGCGATCTAAATTATAAAATGGTTTCTTCTGCGTTGTTAGGTGGATACTGTAGCAAGCAGCCCTATGTAGGTACATATACCTATTATTAAGCACTGCTTGATAAACAGTTAACGTTATTGTATATTCCTTAAGTTAAGTCATCCTTTATGTCCCACTTACTCCTTTAAGAAACACCATGTAAGCCCATCTCTAAGTATGTACGTCTCTCTCTTGCACATACGAGATTGTGAAATAGGCTAAGTAAGCATTAACAGAGATGATGAAATAAAGATCACTTTTGCTGCGACCACTGAAGAGAAAAGACCCTGATTGTACCACTACAATACATATATAGTATACCCTCTTTATGTAGCTACTTTGAAAGAAAAGAAAAAAAAGCAAAAATTGTAATAAAGCCAAAACATATATCTCCAATTTGTATGGTAATGGAACCAAAACAGATTCCTGGCAAAGCCGAATGAGTCAAATTTGGTTACAAAATGGCATAACTTACCGCCGACATAGATATCCGCTTGCGTCCAGTTCAACTTGGCCGAAATACTCTGAACAGCCAGGGAAATGGCTTCGAAGGATGGCAGAAAGTTGCTGGAGATCTGCGAAAAAGAGATGGCTTCAGTGTTGGAATAAAGAGTTTTGGCCAAGTGGCTTACACTGCAATGGTATAAATGAACAAGACCCCTGGTGGCTCTATAAACACAACCCCCATCCCCAACCCCAGATCCCCATTGTGTTTACCCTGTTGTTGGCCTTGTTGTCCTCCCATCCCACAATTCACAATCACCTTTTGTCTCTGCGGGCTGCAAATGAAAATCTAAACACGAACTCTGGTGCTCAGCTGCCTTGTTTGTTAAAGTGAAACAAATTAAATGCTCAAGCAATTAAAGAATAGAGAGATGGAGGGGAAGGAGGTGATGTCCACTTGGCAGCCGACAATGGGGAACTGCGTGTGGGTTGTAGGACTAAGTAGGTGGGTAGACTTAGTTTGTACATCGAAGTTAAAGAGTCTTGTGGGGATAAGGAATACAAAGGAAGATTTGCAATTCTCCTAAGGAAGTGGTAATCGTCCTGCGAACGGCGACTCTTTAAAGAGCTCAGATCCCACAAGTAGGGTAATCAGCTCAAATTGAGTTGTTTTAAATCAATACACTTAAGGGCTGCCCATATGTTATGTCATCAACATTTTGGCAATTTCCATTGCTTATTCAGATACAATAGCTTTGCAGAAAGAGAGAACATCTGTAGGATTAATCATTTTGTTTGGGATTTATAAAAACCTTCAACAATCTGCTTTACAAACTTTATGATTTCCAACCAAACTAATACCGAAAGAAGTGAAATATCTGATGGGCCTGTTTTGTTATTGGTTATTTGTGATGCCCGGCGCGCAAATAAATCCACAACATGACCGTAGACAATTCAATCACGTTTAATCAGAGCATTTGAGCGGTCCATAGGCAGACAACCGACTCCAATCAATAATCGTGCCTGACTCCAATATCCCTCCCTCCTCCTTTCGTGACATACCCCCATACCATTGCCACCACCATTATCATCGTCGTGCCCGGGCATAAAAGGCCCTTGCTCGTTCGATTTTCCATTGGCATTGATAAGGGCAGTTCAGATGGGGCTGGGTTCGGGTTGTCGATTGTGGCAGGGCCGTCAGAGAGCCAGCTTTAAGCTGGTTTTTCTACCTTTTTGACCTTTTTCCCCTCAAATGCCGGCATTTGCTTAGCTTGTTTTCGTCTGTATTTAGACTCATTTGTCGGCTTGATTTGAGTTTGAGTTCTCCAGGACAGCTGCCTGTTGTATGGCCGTTTGCCTGCTTCATTATTTTGGCAGACGAAATAGATTGAAAAACGTTTGAGAAAATACGTGTAGGCAGCTTGGACACATACAATTTTCTACAAAATTGAATTTGTTTGGCAACAGCAAGAACAACATCTTTCTCAACAGCGGAAGCAATCAGAGGGGAGGAGAGATTATAAATTGAAAGGTCTTCGATGATTTTGAATTTCTCCTTTTCCTTATTTCCTTTTTATTCGTAATGAACGAATAAATATTGATCAAAATGGCGATTAACTTTTGGGCAACTGGTATATACAAAGTAAAAGCAAATGAGAGAAAGCGAAAATGAGATGAGGGCTTGACAGTTTGCTTTACTTCGGAAGCAGACAGTTGCAGTAATAAAATTTCAAAAAATTTTAATTAAAAAATAGAAAAATATGAAACCTAAAATGTAAATAATATGGTATTATCTAAAAATGTGTCTGTTTGTTTACTTTTCTCGAATTGTTAACTAAAAAAGTCATTATAGACTTTGTCAGGGTGTTTATAGACAATCAGGGTGTTTTCTCTTCCGTGGTCGCAGCAAAAGTGATCTTTATTTCATCATCTCTGTTAATGCTTAGCCTATTTCACAATCTCGTATGTGCAAGAGAGAGACGTACATACTTAGAGATTTTATGGTTTATATGGTGTTTCTTAAAGGAGTAAGGGGGACATAAATGATGGCTTAACTTAAGGGATACACAATAACGTTAATTGCTTATCAAGCAGTGCTTAATAATAGGGATATGTATGTACATAGGGCTGCTTGCTACAACTTACTTCACCGGTATAAATGCGAGGCACAAGCAAAGACTTTTACAAAATTTAAAGGACATGCCCGCTCGATAGCTATTAACTTTTACTTGTCTATGGATTCAGACAGTGAAAGTGAAAGTGCGGATTAAGGATATATGTACATACTTGTATAGTAGGAGTAAACATTTTAGTCATGTACCAAACAATATACTGACAATTGTTAAGTAGTGGCTTGTTGCTAACAATTCTACACTATTCAACTGTTTTTCTTAGTGACGCTCTTATTGATGATTAATCAAACAATGTAGGTATTATTTATAATACCTATTTTTTTATTTCTTGTTGCAATATTTGTACGGTGCCCAAATGTGCGGAAGGAGCCTTGTTGTTTAATGGCACAGCTTGCAATTATTGGTTTCTGCCCTCTGGTTCCTTGGCCATCGATGAGCTCGGTCAAAGTTCGAAAAACTTTCCCATCGGTGTTCGGGCCAAGTTGCTTGTCAGGGGGCATTGTCGAGGAACCGCGGGGCTTGGGCTAAAACAATTGCAACAATTTGGCATCGGAGTGCATTTCGGACGTCTATTGACACAACGTGACCAGCCATCGTCCAGGGGGCCTTCGCTGGGGCTACCCCTTTGGACACCCTTGTGCCACTGCCTGGCCACACTTCCCCTCATTCCCAGACTGCTAAGTGCACTTGGGAAATTAAAGGTTATTGTGGCGATGCTGGCTCCGGCTTAGTTTTATTGTTTCGGCTTTGCTTTATGGCTCGGACAAATTGTTTAACGTTCAATCAATTTATTTAATTAGCCAAGCGAGGGAAGCACATATATATTGTTTCTGTCAAGCAGCCGGAAAATGAGTTTTCTTGCGCTTTTCCTTTGCCGCTTGCTTGATTTATTTTTTGTTCTTTGGCATTTATTCACAGGTGAATTGCTGTTGGCTGGCAGCCGAAATGTTATGCAAAGGAGCCAAGAGCCAAAAAAAGAATCAACATTAATCACAGCTCGGCAAATATTTGACATTTGGCAGCCTCTTTGGAGGATTTTCCGACCAGAATGGAAGGAATGCGCCCCGCCTCCTCTGCGGAAAATCCGATGTTTGGCTTATCCCCCATTCAACTCAGCGACCTCTTTTGTTGTCGCATTTCGTTTTTTGCCGTGTATATCTCTGGCTGCTTTACATTTCGCTACACATAACAGCTTTGTAAACTTATTCACATGTTAATAATTTAGTTAGGGGCGTGTGCATATCTACACGAAACATTTCAATTGCTCTTTTGTGGCGACTTCTTTGCAGGCTTGGTGAGGATGAAAATATTTATGTGGGCTTGCAAAGACTGTTTCTGCCGAAGGGTTGACAGTGACAATGACGGTATTTATAAATAAGCACTTGGGGCTGGTCAAATGTGAAATACAAACTTCCTCCGAACAGCGGCAGCTGGAAAACTTGTGATGTTTATTCATTTTCAATAAGAAATAACCAACAGCTGGCCCCTGCGAGATAAAAATTAATGGGGGAAATTACTTCCTTTTCGGGGGCCGTCATTATTATCAATATACAATAAAAGAAAGGCAAAACTTTGGCGCCGAGCACTTAATTTGCTGTCATTTAACCGAGGATAAATGGCTGGGACATGAGGCTGCAACAAACCCATTAAGACGCCGCAGCAGCAGCAACAGCAGCAAAATCAGCAAACGAACGATGAAGTTCTGGCCCACATTGGACGGCTCTTTTTTCAGGCCGGCGATAGAGCATTTTTATTGTGTGGCCGAGTGGCAACAACATTGAGGTGCTATAAAGTTACCCAGCAGCAGGAGCGGTAAGGGGGATGGGGATGGGGATGGGGAGGGGCTCCAGCTGACTGCTGTGCTCTGGCACACACACACTTCGACACCAGCATCACACAGATGCAAATCACACTCGCACGTGCTGCCATTGCCAAATTGTTTCCACTCTCGCCAAAGCACATGGCAAATTTGTGCAGTTTTTCTCTTTCCTTCAGCTGTCTGCGTCCAAATTGAATACGATTTGGATTAGGAAATGCCTGCTGATGGATTTTTTGTTTCGCATAACTTGTGTCTCCTTTTATCTGCTCCTGCCGGGGAAATTGCTTTTTAATGCGGACCAACTATTCAGAATGTCCGCACTTACTGCTTTACGCTAGAGGCACTGATAAACGTTTCTCTTTTTTATGTTATCTATTATGTTTTCTATTATACTGAATTGAATTGAAAATAAACTGTGGAATTGTCGTTGAAACTCACCTATTTCTTACATACACAAATTCTAAGAGATATTTATGAGAATATCTATTTGTAGCAAGCAGCCCTATGTACATATACCTATTATTAAGCACTGCTTGATAAGCAGTTAATGTTATTGTACATCCCTTAAGTTAAGTCATCCTTTATGTCCCCCTTACTCCTTTAAGAAACACCTTGTAAACCCATATCGAAGTATGTACGCCTCTCTCTTGCACATACGAGATTGTGAAATAGGCTAAGCATTAACAGAGATGATGAAATAAAGATCACTTTTGCTGCGACCACGGAAGAGAAAACACCCTGATTGTATCACTACATATTGCTTTTAATTTGATCGAATCTGTATGCCAAACTTGTTCTTTATTGTAGGTACGTCTGCCGAATTGGTAACTTATATGTTGGCTTAGGTAAAACAATACCGACATATTCGACTCTGTGGTGTATTCTGCTTCACTCAATTTGAGCTTGGAGTTTCATAACATGATTTATTGTGACAGCTGAAGGCAGTTCATAATATTTTACGACCGTAAAGGCAGTAAAGATGGATGGCAGCGCAAATTCGGGGGATTTGATCCACCTGGCGGGCCGTATAAAGTGATTTGACTGCTTGTTAAACGGTTTAATTTCCGAGGCCCGATCCCCCTGGAGCCCTTGTTCTGACCATTAAGCCCTCGCTTTTGGGCCACGTATGAGCAGTGCTTTGTCGGGCCAACTTTATGAATAATTGAGCGGTGCCTAAGTG